TTTTGGTACGGTCATGAATTACTCTTCATTAGGAACAAAATACTGAGAAAAATTAAACAAAAAATTCATGAAGTCTGTAAATGAAAATATTTGGGGAAAACAGAAAATTCCCCACAGGGAGCAAAGATTACACCAAAGAACCTAAGAGTAAATGGGGACTTATTATCTTTCTCCATGTAAGATAAAAGTCACAGAATTCCTTGATCAAGACTTGTCAAGGAATGACCAGCTACATAATTTGCAGAATTCTTGGCTTTTTCACACATGGTCCCTTGTTCAAAAATTAAGAATTTCAAGCTGGTGACAGCAGAGTGTCAAGTCAAGCAGGGGTTCCTTCTAAGCATAAGAGCCGTGTGACTGCACAGATCACACACCCATGAAGACAGCCCTCATTCCAGTGCTTCCAAAATCGGAAGCCCCTGAGGAACTTAAAAAAACATTTTTTTAATTGAGGTATAATTCGCTTCCCATAAAATTCATTCTTATGAAGTACAAAATTTAGCACTTTTTGTTTGTTTGTTTTAGTATTTTGATATAGCTGTACAACTACTGTGTTTTTTTTATTAAGTGCCACTGAGTTGCTTCTGATGCATAGTGATCCTGCATGGGGCTGAACTACTGACCTTTTGGTTAGCAGTTCAGTGCTTATCCTATAGCGCCACACCAGGGCTCTGTACTAATGACAGACCCTTTTCATCACCCCAGAAAGAAATCCCATACCCATTAGTGGTCATTCTCTACTCCCCAACTCTCACCCCAACCCTCTGCAATCAACAACCGTCTGCTTATATGGATTTGCCTATTCTGAACATTTCAAATAAATCATAAATATGTGGTTATTTTTGTCTACTTTCACTAAAGATAGTGTTTTTAAAGTTTACCCATGTAATAGCATATATCAGTACTTCATTCCTTTTTACAGTTGAATAAGAATATTAGTTTTATATAATATTAATAACCTATATAACACATAATAATAATAATACTTGAATAATAAAAGGATACTTCAAAAAATTCATGGAAAAATTCTATTTTTCCATGAACTTTTTGAAGCTTCCTCATGTGTATGTGTATATAACACACTTGTTATCCATTCATCTATTGATGGACATTTGGGTTGTTTCATTTTTTTTTACTATTATGGAAAAAAATGCTGCTATGAATATTTATGTACAAGTTTATATGTGAATACATGTTGTCAATTCTTTGGGGATTATATTAAGGAGTAGAATTTCTAGTCTACATCGTAATTCTATGTCTAATTGTTTTAGTATCTGCCACAGTTTTCTACTTCTTTCAATGCACTTTGGACTTCCTCCCTGAGTATCATTGGCTCTTGTTCATATGGTATCTCTTGAAATGGCTGAACATTAACCATTTCCTTTTGGTACAATGACTCTGTGTATTCCTTCCATCTTTTCTTGATGCATTCTGCATCATTCAATAATTTGCCCAATAATTAACATTCTTATCAATGGAGAAAAGACTGAAATTGTCAAGGACTTCATTCTTCTTGGATCAACTATCAACACTCACAGAAGCAGCAGTCAAGAGATCAGACAACATATTGCATTGGGCAAATCTGCTGCACAGGAACTTTTTAAAGTATTGAAGAGCAGAGATGTCAGCTTGAGGACTAAGGTGCGCCTGACCCAGGCCATGGTGTTTTCAATAGCCTCATGGATGCGAAAGCTGGACAGTGAATAAGGAAGATCGTAGAAGAATTGATGCCTTTGAGTTGTGGTGTTGGAGGAGAATACTGAAAGTGCCATGGACTGCCAAAAGAACCAATAGATCTGTTTTGGAAGAAGTGCAGCCAGAGTGCTCCTTGGAGGCCAAGATGGCTAAGCTTCGTCTCTCATACTTCGGACATATTGTCCGGAGGAAACAGTCACTGGAGAAGGATGTCATGCTGGGTAAGGTGGAGGGTCAGAGAAAAAGAGGAAGACCCCTAACGAGATGGATTGGCCACGTGGCATCACTGATGGTGTCAAGTGTGGCAGCGGTAGTGAGGTTGGCCCAGGATCGGACATTGTTTCATTCTACTGTGCATTGGGGTTGCTATGAGTCTGTTCCAACTCGTTGGCACCTGACAACAACAACAACAACAGTTTTCTACAGCAGCTACACAATTTTACAATCCTACCAGCAATGTATGTGCATTCCAGTTTCTTTACATCCTCAACATTTTAAATTCTTTTTTTATTACAGTCAATCTAGTATAAAGTGATATCTCATTGTGGTTTTGATATATTTGCATTTTCCTGACAGTTAATAAGGTTGAGCATTTTTTTCGTGTGCTTAATGGCCATTTCAATATCTTCTTTGGAAAAATGTCTATTAAAATCCTTTGCCCATCGAAAAAACTCAGTAATATGTCTCTTTTACTGGTTGTTGTTGCTGAGTTATAAGAGTTCTTTATATATTCTGGATATTGTGGTGCTGAAGGACAAGCAGTGGATCACAAGGTCAGTGTGACCCTGACACTACAAGTATTATTTGGGTATTTCATAGACTGTCCCTCAGTTTGGGCTTGTCTGATGTTTTCCATGTTATTGATGGAGTAGCAGTTCAAACTCACTTCTGCTCCTCGGAAGCCCTATTCAGGTTTGCTAAGAGTCAGGACCAACTTGACTGCACTTAACTACCACATCAGATAATACAATTCAAAAATATTTTCTCCTGTTCTCTGAAAAGGAATTTTTTGAACTACTATTGCTCCTCAGCACCAAATGAGATCTAATGAATTAGCATCCGTAAGTTAACAGAAAAGTTTTTCAAATGATTTCTGATGAACTGCCAGGCTTTGGAATCAATGATCTTGACTAAAGCTTGTACAACATGAATGTGTATACATCATCTGGGAATACTGAGTAAAAAAAAAAGATTGAGGGAACTAGAAAACCACTATTCTGACACCACTGATAACTGCTGGGACTTAATCCATTATTGAATACTAAAAGTAGTGGGCAATGCTTAAGGGACATACAATAACTATCGACCCTCAAAGTATCTACCCCCAAATTTTTATTAATAACAGAAGCAAAGACACACTAACTTTACAATGGAGAAACTGGCAAATGCCATATCAACCAAGTGATCAGGGTTAACACGACCAGTAATAAAACATTGATAGCATGTGCCTTTTTGATACTATATGCCAAGAAAAGCACACCATCCCTGAGTTTTGCTGCAGTTGTTCCAAAAACTGATAACCCTCGTTATAATCATAAGAAAACATCAGATAAGGCCAAATTGAGGGACAGTCTATTAAATACCCACACAGTACTTTTAATGTCAATGTCATGAGCGACAAGAGCAACAGAAACTGCCACAGACTGGAGGAGGCTCACAGACATGACAACTAAGGACATCAGTGAAAAACAGGTAAAATCCAAATAAAGTCTGCAGTTTAATTAAGAGCACTGAACCAATATTAATTGCTTAGTTTTGATAATTATATCACGATTAAGTAAGATGTAACATTGGGGAAAGCTGAGTGAGGGGTTATGGGAACTTGTGGTACTATTTTTGCAACTCTTCTATAAGTCTAAAATTATTTCTAAATAGAAAGTTTTGTTTTTTTAAAAAATATGTGTCTTCTGATGCTGTAGATCTGTATGGGATCCACAGATGGTGCATTTCTCACAGGATCCCAGGAAAGGCTGATGATGCTGGTCCACAAAACCCTCTCTATGTAGCAAGAATTTAGACCTGTGTGGTTCTCAAACTTAACTCTGCATCAGAATCATCAGAATCATCTGGAGGCCTTGCTAAAACTGACTGCTGTGCCCCACACCTTCACAGTTTCTGATGCTGGGGTGGGATCCCAGCATTCACATTTCTAACAAGTTCTCAGATAATACCAATGTTGCTGATTGAGCGAAGAATGTTTTTTTACATTTTGAAAGCATTGTAGAAATAAGAATATAAAACAGAGACTGCATGTAGCCTGCAAAGCCTAAAATAATTACAGAAAATGTTTGTGACTGCTGCTTTCCAGAATGAAGTTTTAAGTAACACTAATGCCTAGGTCCCATGCATCAGAGATTCTTATTTAACTGATCTGGCATAGGTTCTCAGCTTCAATATTTTAAAATTCTGATGTGCAGGTTTAAGTATGACTGATTTAAATCATCCACCTACCCCAAACAAAAACCTGTTCCTCAACCAATGAGAGGGTTAGGCATGAGCTGCAAACAAATGTGAAATAGCACTCTCAGCAATTTACAACTAATTTCAAAAAGCTGACCTGCTCTTTTGTGAAAGCTGTCTAAGCCCAAATGTAAGTCAAGATTTCCTCTCCTCATCTGTCTCCTGGACCCCTAGTGTGGCTCTTTAGGATCAGCACAGGACTGGGAACCACAAGGTCGGCAGTTCAAACCCACCAGCTGCTCCTCAGAAACCCTATACAGGGTCACGGTGAGTTATAACCGACTTGACTGCACTTAACAACAACATTAAGTGAATATGAGTAACACTGGATCATGTATCAATAATAATCACAAAGAACCCTTAAAAAAAAAAAAAAAGAAGAAGGAGTGAGTGTAACTACTTAATTCTCGAAGAAAGGTCTGAAAATTGATGGACCAGAACAGGCCATAGAAATGGATCAAAAAGGGAATCAAGGTGTTAACTGTCTTGTGTGCTCAAAGGCAAAGAGTTCAGAGCATTAGAGAGCAGAACTGAAAAATGGACACGGTTCAAAACAAAACACTACAAAGCATCTTTTACTTCATCACAGCCCCAACAATTTTTGGCTCCCAATTTGAGCATAAATGTGACCAGAAATCCTAATATCTGCCCAACAACTTTATTTTTAATTTTTGCAGAGCTATTCTCAAGGTATTCCCTTTATACTCTTACCCTCTGCCTACTACTCCTCTGCCCAAGAGGAGAGCTTAGCTACAGTCTGCTCTCCCTGCTACAGAACCTGAGAGCCAGACTCCTCCAGGAAGCACCTTTCCCCTTGTGAGAAAGGTCTGTGTTTGCTCTCATACCTGCTGTGCTCTCCTCGGCCTGGTTGAAGCCGCAGATCTGGCAGATGCTCTGGACCCACTTATTCATGTCCTCCTCTGTCTCAGCCACCAGATAGAAAGTGCGCTCACTGGTCTTGATGTCAAACACAAAACTATCCTGCAGCTCCTTCTTGTTGAAGGTCAGGCCTGCATCCACCTGCTCACAGAAGTTTAGGTTGATGATCCGCAGGGGCTTTTTAGAGTGATCATTCTTGTAGTACTCCAGAACATCTGGGTCACCACTCATCCGGCCACTCCGTAGGATAAACCAGCGTTTCTTCCAGGCCTGAATTCCAGGAAGGAGTAAGAAGAGGGGGAGAAAAGATCATTAGTATTCTTTCAAAGCTTTTAACAGATCCTTAGAAATTACTAGGTTGAGGACGGGGAATGTCTACCATGCAGGCTGAACATGGCTTGTTTCCTTTTCATATTACTCAGCTTCAAAAAATGGAGGATAATTTTAAGATGCATGTTAGTGAAGCATTTCACTATGGAATTAGGGTCTTATTACTAAAAAAATAAGATATGGCAATGATGATTAATGTAATGTGTCAACTAGGTTAGGCCATCATTCTCAATATTATGTAACTATCCACAACTTTGTGATGTGGGATAAGGGGGGTTCCCTTGGGGTGTGGTCTGCATCCAATATATATGGATGTTGTGGCAAAGCTCTCTTTCTTGACCCTGCATCTGAGTTATTATCTGACCTCTGATTCTTGGAATGTGAGCCAGCAGACTGCTGCCTGACCTGCCAATTTTGAGTTCATCAACCCCTGGAACCACGTAATGGTCTTAAGATGCCTCTAGCCTGATTTTGGACTTGCTAGTCCTGGTGTAGGATTCCTGGTATGGTGCTGTAGCATCAGTACCAGACTGTGAAACACACACAAGTCGGCAGTTCAAACCCACCAGCTGGTCCTTTGAAACTCTATACAGGGTGGCTATGAGTTGGAACAGACTCGACAGCACTTAACAACAACTACAACAAGTTCTGTTGTGGCACTGTAGGATAAGTGCAGGACCACAAGAACCGTTTGAACAATAAAGCTGGTGGTTCAAATTTACCAGTCGCTCCTTGGAAACCCTATATGGATTGCTATGAGTTAGACCCAACTTGATGGCATTTATAACAACAACAAGAAGCCTCCACAATGGTGTTTTCTTTCTATCTATCTATCTATCTATCTATCTATCTATCTATCTATCTATCTATCTATATGTGTGTGTTCGAAAGTGCCAGGTGTTCCATGGGAGAAAGATGAGGCTTTCTGCTCCCATAAAGATTTACAGCATCAGAAACCCTATACAGGGTGGTTATGAGTCAGAACTGACTCCACAGCACATAACCACCACCACTGCATATTGCTATATCTTTGTTCTTGTTAAGTGCCGTCAAGTCAGTTCCATCCTACAGTGACCCTGTATAGAATTTCCGAGGAGCATATGGTAAGTTCAAACTGCCTTTTCAGTTCAGGGCATTAAACCACCACTCTGCACCAGGACTCCATATGTGTATGTATATCTACCCAATATAAAAACTATATATATAGTTTTTGCTCCTTCAGATAACCCAACCCATGATAGTGGTATTCCTACTTTTTATATTGGGAAGTATGAGAATTAAAGCACTCAGACGCTCCTCAGAAGCCCTATATAGTGTCGCTATGAGTCAGAACCGACTCGATACCACTTAACAACAATCCCATTTAGCTAGAATACAGATTGAAACTCACAATACTTCTAGGCAGGGTAGATAATAGCAGCTCCTCAGTTTACAGATGAGGACCTCCACTGATAGACAGTGAGTTGAAGCAACACATACAAGTAGTAGAAAAACAAGCTGACTTTTAGTGCAATGTACTTTTTACCAAACCTAGACACCTTAGGAAAGTGACAGAAAAATCTACTTGCAAGCACATAACTTCGGGACTTCTTTTTTCCCCCTTGATCACTGCTACAGCCATAGTATTTATAACATTGCCTTGTACATACTGAGAGCTCAATATGCATAACTGGGAGAATAAACTACTAACATCATTCCACATTACAGAATTTAACACTTGATTACATATTCTCTTATACTGTAACTGACAATCAATCTCTTCAACAAGACTGAATAATCTGTGAGAAGATAGCACACAAAGTGCTAAGAAAAAGGCTTTCCATATACTAGACTGCCTGAGGTTAATTCTATGCTTTGCCACTTTGTTGCTGTATGATTTTAGGTAAGTCATTTACCTCCTTAGATCCAGCCTCACCTACATATGAAAATCACTACCACCCAAATGCCTAATACAACTTTTTTTTACATGTAAACTAATTCTAAAGCATAGCAATTATTAAAGATTTTATTACTATTACAACTCTTAACCACACTGGAGCCTACACTCCATCAATCCTACCATATTTCTACTCTCATCTTCTACCTTCCCTTCTCATTTAGCTTAGCTATTGTGTCCCATCATTATAATCATTCCTTGCTCCTTTCTCCATTCCTCTTATTTACGAGGCAAAACCATAATCTCTGACTAAGTCTAATGCTTTGCCTGTTCCAATGCTCTGCCTTTCACACTGAGCTGTATATAACTGGAAAACATCATACAACTATACTGACTGGTCTCACATGAAATTCAAGTAGATCTTCAGGCTGCTTAGCATCCTATTACCTTTACATAATACTCCTACTCCCCACTTATTGAGTTTCTCATTACCTGATGTCTCAAATTTATTATAATAGTAACAGTCTGTTGTTATTGTTGTTAGGTGCTACCAAGCCAGTTTCAACTATAGTGATGGAACACTGAATCCTCATGTGCCATCCTTGTAGTCATTGCTGTGTTTGAACCCACTGTTGGAGTCACTGTGTCAATTCATCTCCTTGAAGGTCTCCCTCTTTTGTTTGACCCTCTACTTAACTACACATGAGGTCCTTCTCCAGAGACTGCTCCCTTCTGGTCTCACCATCCTCACTTCTAAAGAGGACTCTGGCTGTACTTTTTTCAAGACAGATTTGTTTGTTCTTATGGCACTCCATGGCATATTCAATATTTTTCATCAACACCATAATAAAAAGGCATTAATTCTTCTCTGATCTTTATTTAAAACTCTTCTTTTGCATACATCTAAGATGACTACCACGGCTTGGGTGAGGTGACCCTTAGTTCTCAAAATTACACATTCTTTTCCCCTCAATTATTATTTCAGTGAACGTTTATCTAGAAACTGGTTTTCCATAAACAAATTCCTACACTTTTTGTTTTGTGACAATGACTGAAACCCGTACAATGTAACAGCACTCTTTCCACTTCCTCCCTGTGTTTACCCTTGGGTCCTTTTCTCCTATCCCTTCCTGCGTTGTGAGCTTTAAGTCTGGGCAAATGCTACCCTTTAAATCTCATATGGTTGATTAGTTTCAGAAGTTCCACCAGTTCCTATCAGACTAATAAGCATATTCTTTTAAAAATGATTTTGAGTACGATTCCACATTTTTCTCCCACTTTATCCAATACCTTCTATTGTGATCCCTTTCAGATTGTTTAGCAATGGTGCCAGACACCATCTAGTTCTCCTGTTCTCAGGGTCATGGAGACTAGGGAGAAACGGACATCTTTCCTCTTTAACACTTTAATGAAGTCTTTTGTAGTAGATGTGTCCAATGCAATATGTTGTTTGATTTCACGACTGCTGCCTCCATGGGCACTGATTGTGGATCCAAGTAAAATGAAATCTTTGACAACTTACTGGTCTAGTTGTGAAGGTGTCTGCTTTCTTTATGTTGAGGTATAACCCATACTGAAGATTGGTAGTCTGCTTTTTATCAGCAAGTGCTTCAATTCCTCTACATTTTCAATACGCAAGGTTGTGTCATCTGCACATCACCAGTTGTTAATGAGTCTTCCTCCAATCCTGATGCCACATTATCCTTCATATAGTCTACCTTCTTGGAGTACTTGCTCAGCATACAGACTGAATGAGTATGGTGAAACAATACAACCCTGGCACACACTTTGAGATTTTAAACCACACAGTAATCCCTAGTTCTATTTGAATGATTGCCTTTTAGGCTATGTGTAGGCTCTATGTGAACACAATTAAGTGTTCTGAAATTCCCATTCTTTGCAATATTATCCAAAGTTTCTTATGATCCATATATAGTTAAATGCCTTTGCATAGTCAATGAAATACAGGAAGACATTTCAAAAGAGTTTTGATTGTGAATTGAGTGACAGTTTACATGGGAGAACACTGGTTTTGCACTCATTCTATCATATTTTGTTTCACTGCAATGATTACAGTCCCCTCCATGTATCATCATTTAACAGTATTTGCTTCTATTCCTTCTGTGTGGTTTTTTTTTTTTTTTTTTTTTGATGCATACAAGAACACTCAGGAATATAAAATCATTTAAACAACCAAAGGGCGTATTCTACAAGCCTACTTCCTGGCCGCCAGCACACAGCCTTTCTCTTTCTAGGAGTCTAGACTCCTCAGCTGCTGTAAAGGATCCCTGGGATGGTGCAAATGGTTAAGCACTGGATTACTATCTGAAAGACTGGCGGCTGAAACCAACCCAAAGGTTCCTTGGAAGAAAGGCATGGTGGCCTCTTCTGAAAGGTCACAGCCTTGAAAACCTCTAGGCACACATGGGTCAACATGAGTTGGAACCGACTCAACAGCAACTAATAACATCAACAAGTTAGCCTCTAAGATGATCCCCAATGAGTCTCATCTCCCAGTATAGCCTTATGTAGTCCTCTCCCACACTGTATATGGATAGCCTGGGTAACCCACAGAATACTACATAAGTGACAGTGTGTGAATTTCAATGCTAAGTCATAAAAATAATGCAGCTTTGTCTTGTCTCTTTTGGATCAGTAGAAATAAACTATAGTGTAAGGGCATTAAGGAGTGGTATATATGACAAGGACCTGACACTCATGTCAGTTATTGAACTATGCAGAGAAGCAGATCCTCCAGCCCCAGCCAAGCCTTCAGATGACTGCAGCCCTAGGCAGCATCTTAACTTCAGCTCCATGATAGGAGACCCCCAAGCCAAAACCAACAAGCTAAGTTACACTTGAATTACTGACTCACAAGAACCATGGTGAGCATTTACTGTTGTTTTTAGGCACTACGTTTTGGAGTCATTTCTTATACTACAATACATTTTACTTTTCACTCCCATGGCTAGGTGAATGCACTACTGGTAAATACTAGAAGGGAAGTGTTGTCTATCTAGTAGATTAAAAATAAAGCCCAACAGACAGACGCTCAGACCAATGG